GACTTCGCGGGCCCGCTGGTGTTCATCGAACCCCGCACGTCGGAACCGTTTGCCTTCGCACCTCCAGAGTCACCCGGACGGGTTTCCCGCTCTCGCACGGCAGGGCACCACCACGGTGGCGTGCCAGGGGCGCATCATGGGAACGGCGCCCCCAGGGCAGTCTACAACCGAACCTACTGGGCGCGAGCGGTCCGCAGCCAGACCATCTGTCGTTCCTGTGGACTCTCGCCCTGGGCCGTCGGCTGTCCGGCGCGCTGCTCCCTCGGCCGATTTCGCCCAGGCGTGATCCTGGATTGCGGCCGTCACGAGGTCGGGAACGGCGAGAAGGAGGACGACGACTGGTGGCTGGAGCTCCATGTGCTGCTCTCGCGCGGCACCCGCAACGAGGACCTCCTGCTCATGCGGGCGCTGCGCGTCGAATTCTTCCTGGCAAGGCCGCTGGGGTGCTTGCGGAAGCAGCTGGGGCAGTTTGCGGCGCGCACAAAGCGGTGCAGGAGGGAGGCGACGGCCCTCGCAAGAGAGCTCGGCTTCACCGAGTTCGTCCGCGAGGGCTGACTTGAGGGGCGCCCCGCCCGAGCCGCGCCTTCTATCGATTGCCCGACTAATTGTTTGGCCTCGCGCCGCGGACGACCCGCGCGCGTCGCTGGGACCCTCTCGGGGCGACCAGTGCGCGTCGCGGGAACTCCGTGCTGCGCTCTGCCCAGCGCCTCGCTCGCCCGTCGTCGCCCTGCCCAGCGGCCAAAGCTTTGCCCGTAGTCAGCCTGCCAGCCAGTTCTCTTTGCTCCGCGCAGCGGACGACCCGCGCGCGTCGCTGGGACCCCTCCGGGGCGACCGGCGCGCGTCGCGGGGACTCCGCGCTGCGTTGCGCCCGCAGCTTCGGACTTTGGAGTGCGCGGGCACAGAGCGAGGAAAGGAGGGGAAGGAAGCGGGCGCGATCCTCGTGAGGGGCGCGACGACATGGGCGTCGCGGCGCGCGGGCGGTGCCGTCGGGGTTCCCGGGGAATCTCCCTGCGGCGGCCTCGCTCAGTGTCACGAGTGTTTAGAGTCAGGCCTACCCGAACCAATCACAGCCATATAAATATATTATCATACGCACCTCTCCGAGGGAGTAGAGCTCAGAGGCGATTAATGCGCACGTCGTTCGCGATTGTTCTGGCCGTTTCGCTCGGGACATCCTCGAAATTCTGAAAATCTGTGGCACCCCTCACGCAGATCGTGACGTCAGGGTCCAAAAACACATGGGAATTTCAACATTTTAACATGAAGCCTTCAAACATACATGGTAAGTTCAATCATTTTGACCCCGATTCTCAGAGAATGGCGGTTTCGCATGAAAAATCCTCCCAAAATCGAGCCCCATACCCCTCCTCGGAGCCTCCTGGGGGCCTCCTGGAACCTTCTGGGGCCTCCTGGGGCTTTCTGGACCTTCTGGTACCCCAGACCCCGCCTCGGAGCCTCATGGAGTTCTCATGGGCCTGCTGAGGCCGCCTGGGGCCTCCTGGGGCCTCCTGGGGCTTCAGAACTACATGCAAACACAGAGACACAAATCACGCCCAACACATCACACGCTAGACAAACATAACAGACACACACACACACAACACCGACAACACACAAAAAGCACGCACCACACAAAGCACACATCACACACACACACACAACACTCACAATCCTGGGGCCTCCTGGAGCCTCTTCTGGTATCCAAGTCGGGCCTCCTGAGGCTTCCTGGGGGGCCCTGGTACACACATCGCAAGGTGTGGCAACCCCACTTGCGCTCGAGTGCGACTTCGCTGTTGCATGTCACTCCTGCTTCAAACGCCCCTTCAGCTTGTTGTATGAGCCTGGGCACACACGTGCCACTTGTATATATATACATACATATATATATATATATACACATTAGGCGTAGCCATGACCGCATGCATGCAAATATACTCACTCGCACGCAGACTCATTCACACTTATAATCACTCGCGCTCAGACCCACCCGCGCTCAGACTCTCGTAGTTGGACATATCGTCTTCCTTCGTGATGTGTACCCCGCCACGCAACTCGGCACACCCCCATACGATTCGTGGGCTCGTGGCCCCATAGGGAGCGCCACCGAAGAAGATATTCACAAGAGTGGTACTCACAACTGCACATCGTTGGGCCCTTCGCCAGGATATTTGTTCCTCCATGGTCTCCCAGAACGGTCCTGGAGGGCCTCCTGGGTGTCCAGGGAAGCTCAAGAGGGCCTTCAGAGAACCCCAACAACCTCCCAAACGGGCCGAACGAATCCACAGGAAGAGTTCCATTCCCTACAGCAGCAACCGTGCGAGTTCCCGATCTGTCTTTCTTCTGGGGGTCGGCGGAATTGTGGAAGCCTCTTGAATCCGCCAGCCCACTTGGCTGAGTGGTGTGTGAGAAGTAGACGACGACGACCCCGAAGTGGACGAGGACGACGAGGACGACGGCGACGAGCACGAGAACGACGACAAGGACGACGAGGGGGACGACGACGTCGGGCTTTAGCTCCCCCCCTGTTTACCCCCAAGGGGCTCGGCCATGCCGCCGCCTGCGTGAACTCCATCCCCTTTTGAAGCCCAATTCGGTTCCAAGACGGTCTCCTCTTCCACACTGCCCCCCAAAACATTTCGAGACAGATGTCCGCTGCATGTTGGTCCCTCTTGTGCCCCCTCTTGGCCTCGCCGTTTTGGATGCGCTCTGAGACTTCTGGTTCTGGGGCCAACTTCGGCCCACATCGGATGCCAAACTAGCCTAAGCCAGCCTCGCCATCGCTCGGACGTCCATCCCCTGTGCATTTTGTCGGTTTCGTGTGTGTATTTTTCTCGCAGCGTGAGCAAACGTGCTCCTCGATGACCCTTGCCAGTGCAAAAGTGCCCACGTCCGAGCGATGCCGAGAAGCATCTCTGGGCGCCTCTGCCTCGGCAGCGGCCGCGTCTCCCTCCGAGAGCGCCGCTCCCGTTCCATGGCGCGGGCCTGGGCCCACGCCCGAGCCCTTCGGAGCCTCGTGGCGACGACAACGGCTCCCGCCTGGCACTTCCTCGTGACCTACTCCGGGACGCCCTAGCCAGGGCGGCCCGCCAACCTCGGGAGCGGCGCTCATCTTCGTATTTCGCTCGAGGTGGTGACGGCCCAGCTGCGACGACAACGGCTCCTGCTCGATGCGTCCTCGTAAATTTCTCCGAGACGCCCTGGCCTAAGAGGCAATCGAATTCAGGAGCGGCGCTCTGGCTTGAGGCTTCCTTGCCATCCACTCGGACTGGTGAAGGCCCAGCTGCCCAAACAGTGCCCCCGCTCGATGCTTCCTCGCAATGTTCTCCGAGACGCTCTGGCCAGAGGGCGCCCGAACTCAGGAACGGCGCTCTCGCTCGAGACTCCTCTGGATTCTAGACGCTTCGCGTAACCCCACCAGCCCCGGAAGGTTCCAGTGGGTCTCTCGCTACACTGCCTACCTTACAGTACCTGGACCTCGGGTTCGGCAAGTGTGGCTCTGTACGCTCGTTGGCCGACGTTCTCCTGCATGGGCTTCGCTTTCGACAAGTGTTACAGGCTTTACTGCCGTTTGCAGTCTTGTCGGTGATGAGGTTGCCCCTCTTCACTCTTGCGCCGACACGATGCTTTGGCATGTGTGTCGCCTACTTCACGGATGTCGTCTGGGTGTGCCTGTCGGTCTAGTTCGTCTCTGACGGTGCTGTTTGCCTGACTCACACCGAGCGATCGACCTCTGCGTGTTTATGGTCGCGCCGCCGCGCCATTTTGGCTGCGACTTGCTGGTCGCAACCAGGATTTCCAACGCCACCGGGTTTGGGAGTATCGGTTCTGGTGCTCCTTAAGAGTGGCTGCCCGCTCGCTCGCTTCGCTTGCCTTTCTTTTCCTGCTGCCTAGTCGCGGCCCGACTAGTGTTCGGACGGCTTTCGACCCGCCTCGCGAGCCTGTTGACCAAAAAGTAACCCGACCAGCCCATCCAGAAACGATGCCCAGAGGAATTGCCTCGATCAGGGAAGTGGGCAGCACATAGAGGAAGGGTCCACCAGTGGAGGCCTCTTGGAGCGTCTTGGGGGCTGGTGGCTGGTGGGATTCACCCAAGGTGACGGCCCAATGGTGACGTTCCGCCTTATACTTCCTCACAAGTTGCTGCGAGATGCTCTGGCTAGAGAGGCCCCCGAGCTCAAGAACGGCGCTCTGGCTCGAGACTTCCTCGCGATCAACCCAGGCTGGTGCAGGCCAAGCTGCGACGACAATGGCTTCCGCTCGATAGTTCCTCACAATTTACTCGCGTGCGCCCTTGTCATATGCAGTATGCACTCAGGAACGGCGCTCTTAGCCCGAGACGTCCTCGCAGCTCGTTCAATTTTCTGAGAGCCCAGCTAAGACGACAACGGCTCCTGCCCGATAGCCCCCGTCACAGCTTCCTCTGAGACGCCCTGGAGACCCTCAAACTCAGGAGCGGCGCTCTCCGCCGAGACTTCCTCGCAGTTCACTCGAGTTGGTGAGTTGCCCGCGGGCGCGTTCGCTCGCACGACAGCCATGGCGGCGCGGTGCGCGTACAGAGTGCACTGCCGAATGCTTCTCCCATGAGCTGGTATGCAAAGAAGTCCCCCCCAAAAGGGGCTGGTTCATGAACTCTCGCAGGCGGGTGCAAAAGAGATGGAGACACAAACGAAGGTCAAAACGCTTTTTCGATCACGAGTTCGGAAGACGATCGTCGTCATTGCCGTCGTCGTCCGTCGTCGTCGTCCTCCTCCTCCTTCCCCTCCTCCTCGTCCCACGCATCCCCGTTCTCATCAGCCTTTCTTCGCTCTTCCTCCTTCTCCTTCTCATCGGGGTCCTAGTAAGGTAGCAAAGGACCCCAAACGCTCCAGACCACGAGCCTTGACCCCCTGGCAGATCTCTTCTCCTCCCCAACCCCACCCATCATCGAAGGCCGCCGAGGGCCGCCGAAGGCCGGCCAGTGCCGCCGAGGGCCGCCGGGGGCCGCCCCCGCTCGGCCCCTCCACGTCGAAGATGTCGGGGCCCGTCCTGCACTCGGACTTGCACGCCGCCCAGAGCACTTGTCCTCGGCCCCGGGGCGGCCGAGGAGCGGAGGGAGGGCGCTGGCCGTCGCTCGGACGTCCATTCCCTGTGTTTTCTTTTGGGGGGGGGGGGTCGTGCGTGGTTCTTTCGCCAAGTGATCAGGGATGCTCCCCGATGGTCCTCGCCGAAGGAAAAATTCACACGTCCGAGCGATGCCAAGAGGGCGGGTGAGGAGGAGGAGGGGTTCTGGTGTCAGGCCGAAGCCACTGAGGGGTCTTAGTGCAGCGCTTCAGAACTACACCCTTCGGGGGCAGCGGGCTGGAGTTCACAAGGGTCTGGGCTTCAGCTTGCACGCTTGAAGGGTGTGGGTTGGAGCCCTTGAGGGTAGGCGTGGCCAGGGCGAGGGGGATGGATAAGGAGAGGATAGGGGGAGGTTTTTCTATGGTTTTCGCTGATCTTCGGAGGACCTCGGAAGTTTCTCAAAACGTTCGGAACTGTTCCAACGGGTTCTCGACGTTGTCGGAGGAGGCTTCCAGGGAGGGAGTCCGATGATGAGGATGAAGACGATGAGGAGCTGAAGGACGAGGAGTAGGCGGCAGGTACGCGGAAGAGGACGGATGAACTTACATGATGTTGGCCTTATGAAGCTCTCCGCGGGAGTTCCCGTTGCCGCGGTCGCATTCGCCTTGGGGCCCTGGTCGGGACCCCCCCCGGGGGGGGGGAGCGGCGTTGAGGGGACTGACCTGCCACCGTGACCCCCTGGCACGCTGATGCCCTCCCTCTGCTCGCGGACTGTTGCGTGCACCTCACTGAGACCCCTCCCCTCGTGCCCGCTCGAGGATGGCGCACTTCCCTCGTGGCAGCGAATGCCTGAGCCCTCATGTCGTGCGCGCCCGCGAGAGGGTAGTGCACGTCCCGCGTCCGCTCGAGGATCGTGCACTTCCCGTGCAGTCAACAACCCTAATAAGGACGCGCGGTCAGGACGCAAGACCCTTAGAAGCCGAAGTTGAAATGTTTGGGGCGGCGGACGACGAAAACCTCAAGGACGCAAGAGCAAGGAAGAGCAAGGGCGCAAGGGTACCCTGAGCAAAGTCGCGCGTCCTTGTTCGGGCTTTTGACTGTACAGTCAACCCGTATATTAAGGATGCGCGGTAAGGATGCAAGGGCCTTGGAGGGCCATGTTAACGTTTTTCGAACGAGGTTGGCCAGCGAAAGTCACAAAGGATGGGCAGAAGGGGCAAGGATGCAGGGGAAGCCTTGGAAAGTTGCTCATCCTTACTTTGCGGGTTGACTGTGTTCCCAGCCGCTGCTCCCAAGCGCTCCAGGGCCTCCCAAGCAATGATCCCTCGTTCAAGGAGGTGGGTATGCGCCCCGAGCTTCCAAGGCTGCCCGTGCCGACGACCAGGGACACCAGGATGGCCTATGATGCCTCGAAGACGGCCCACGATGGCCCCAAGGCTGCCGAAACTTGATTCAAGGCGGCCCAAGATGCCTCCAGGAGGGCCCAAAACGGCCATAAGAGGACCTCCAAAAGGGTCCGAAGAAGCCCCAACCATTGATGCCCCTTGGGTTTATTTTTAGCATCTCGCCTCTGTGGGCTGCCGCCGGCTCACGACGGCCCAAGAGGACTCCATGGTGGCCCAAGAAGCATCCAGAACAGTCACGAGACGCTCCCAGGTGCTCCTAGGCGCTTCAAGGCGCTCCCAGGCACTCCCAGGCGCTTCCCGAGCGTTTTCAGGCCTCCCAAGCGCTTCCCAAGCGCTCCCAGGCGTTCCCAAGCGCTCCCAAGCGCTCCCAGGCGCCCCCAGGCGCTCCGATGCGCTCCCAGGAAGGTGTACGATCGGCCCAAGAGGACCCCCCTGGTACCCAAGAAGGCCTTAGAAGGCCCTTCGACGGCCCACAACGGCACGAAGACGATCTCACGACGGCCCCAGACACCCACCATTTTTTTTTTCTTTTTTCCCAGAGCGAGATGACACCACGGATGAGGAAAAAGACGCGTCTCAAATGCAACCTCTCTGTTGCACCATATCGAGCACTCCATGCCCCTGGACCCCTTTTCAAAGCAGGGTGCAACAGAACACGGGTGGCACTGCATATGAGGAATAGAACGCGCCTCAAATGCAACCTCCTTGTTGCACCATGCCGGGCACTCCATGCCCCTGGACCCCCGTTCAAAGCAGGGAACAGCAGCACACGGGTGGCGCTACAGATGAGGAATAAACCGCGACACAAGAAGGCCCCAGACACCCACCATACGGCCAAGAAGGCCCCACTCCGGCCCAAGAGGGCCCTACGGAACCCCAAAGACTGCCTCACAGGAGGCCAAGACAACCTCCAGCCTATCCAAACGAGTGTCATCATCATCATCACCAGCATCACCATCACCATCACCATCACCAACATCATCATCATCATGTTCAGCAACAGCAACAGCACCATCATCATCGTCATCATGAACATCATGAACATCATCATCATCATCATCATCATCATCATCATCATCATCATCATCATCATCGACACCACCACCAACACCACCATCACAATCACCATCGCCATCAACATCACCCTCACCACCATCAGCATCGGCGGCGTCTTTATCATTATCACCAGCATCATCGTCGTCATCATCATCATCATCATCAACAACATCACACTCATCATCATTGTCATCAGCACCATCATGTTCATCATCATATTCATTATCAGCGTATTCATCGTCATCATCATCATCAGCATCACCAGCATCATCATCATCATCAACATTATCATCATCATACTCATCATCCGCATCACCACCGTCATCATCATCGTCAGCAGCGTCATCAGCATCATCGTCGTCATCATCACCACCATCATCATCATAATAATCATCGTCATCATTATCGTCGTGATCGTCTGCATCATCATCGGCATCAACCGCCGAAATATCAACATCGCCATCAACATCATCCTCATAATAAACCTCATCCTCATCCTCGTCCTCATCATTATTGTCATCATCATTGCCGTCATCACTGTCATTATCCTTCTCATCATTTCTGTCAGCAACATCACCATCACCCGCATCAACATCAGCATCGTCACCCACATCTCATCATCACCATCATCACCATCATCAACGTCGTCGACATCGTCATCGGCATCGTCGTCAACGTCAACGTCGTCGTCATCGTCAACGTCGTCGTCATCATCATCGTCATCGCTATCACCACCACCACATCATCGTCATCACCACAAGCATCATCATAAGCATCATCAACATTATAAGCATCATCATCACCAGCATCATCACCATAATCTCTCTCATCACCATCATCATCACCACCATCACCATCATCACCACCGCCATCATTACCATCACCATCACCCTCACCCACACCTTCACCAACCATCATCATCATCATCACCATCATCATCAGCATCATCATCATCAGCATCGGCACCATCAGCATCATCATCACCAACATCACGATCACCATCATCATCACCATCATCACCATCATCGGCATCATCCTCATCATCTTAATTCTCATCATCGTAATCATCATCAACATCCGCATCATCATCAGCATCATCGCCACCACCAGCCTTACCATCACCATCACCCCCACCCACACCCACGCCCACACCCTCACCATCACCCTCACCCTCACCCTCACCCTCACCCTCACCCTCCTCATCCTCATCATCATCAGCATCAGCATCAGCATCAGCATCATCGTCGCCAGCATCATCATCAGCATCGGCATCATCATCATCATCATCATCACCACGATCACCATCATCATCACCATCATCAGCATCTTCATCATCATCATCATCATCATCATCATCATCATCACTCTCATCATCATACTCATCATCAACATCCGCATCATCATCATCATCAGCACTATCATCAGCATCATCACCACCACCAGCCTTACCATCACCATCAACCTCACCCACACCCACGCCCACACCCTCACCATCACCCTTACCCTCACCCTCACCCTCACCCTCACCCTCACCATCATCATCATCATCATCATCATCATCATCATCATCATCAGCATCAGCATCAGCATCAGCATAAGCATCATCGTCACCATCACCATGACCATCACCATCATCATCATCATCATCATCATCATCGTCATCGTCATCGTCATTGTCATCGGCATCATCATCATGATCATCATGATCATCGTAATCATCATAATCATCATGATCATCATCATCATCATCATCATCATCATCATCATCATCATCATCATCATCATCATCATGCGGTGGCCGGGGCGCTTCAGGCTGCCTGCCTCGAGCAGCCAGGGCTCCCGATGATGCCGAGCTTCCTAGGCTGGCCAGGCTCGGCCGCCTCGAAGACGGGCGAACGGCCCTTCGCGCCCTCCGCCCCCGCGGCCGCGCAGCTCGAGGTCGCCCAGGCGCCGTGCTTGGCCAGGCGGATCGTGGTGGCCCGCACGCCGCTCGGCAGCGGGGCCAGGCCGTTCGAGGCCACCGCGCTGGGCGTGCAGGAGTTGGCGGCCAGCTTCGGGACGGCGCGGCCGCGCGAATCGCAGGAGCCGGGCCGCGGCGAGGCGGCGGACACCCCGCGCGGCCTCACGAGCGCGGAGCTCGCGACGCTGGTGGAGATCCTCGAAGCGGACCTGCGAGGCAAGGACCGCGGCGTGCAGGCCGCCCTGGAGCACGGCACGGTCGCGGAGGCCGCCGAGGAGCCGCCCCCCATGGACCCCGCCGCGGAGCTGTCCCTCGCGGCGGGCACCCCCGTGCTGATTGGGGTGGCGAGGCGAGCGGCGGCGCATGGGCGGCGGGCGCCGCCACCGGTGCTGGAGCAGCGGCGAAGCTGGTGACCACGGCCACGGGGCTTGTCGCGGAGCTCTGGCCGTCGCGGAGTGGGGCACGGCACGGGGCTGGACTTCTGCATCGTGGTGCCGCCCGTGATGGGGCTGGCGGTTATCGTGGATCTGGTGGCGCTGCAGCCCGCCACGGAGCTGTAGTTCGGGGACCCAACCTGCGTCGACCCGGCGTGGCAGACTT